AACATTGAACATCTTTCACTTTTAAAGATATGCATACATGAATATGTTTTGGGGGGATTCACATGCAATTTGCTACTTAAACTTTATATTTTAGAGCTTTACTTAGTCCCCCAAATGTGATGATTGTCCTTTGGTAAAATTGCCTGTAAGCACAGATGGAAGACTTTAAGCAACAAAACTCCACAATACTGTAACATAGCCACCACATACCTCCAGGAAGGGGTACTCTCCCTTGAAAATCATTATCCGCTCTGGATGGTTTCCATTAGAATTCAGAGCAGGCTTAGTGTCTTTGGACTGGCTTTGAACCAAAAAGAGACAGCGGGTCTATCTAGCAACATTCAAGAAAGTTCAGTGTAAACAAAAATGTCCACTAAATACCTGCAAGAGAAGCCTTAGAAAATGTCAAATGTTCATTGGCTAAATTCCAAATTCCTAAGAACATTTAGATTCCAATGAGGATTGTAGTGTGATGCAAGTTCCATTTGAAAAGTTGGTTTCCTGGCTCTAAAACCTCATCACTACCATTGTTGTTGTTGTTAAGTGCCTTCAAGTCAGTTCCGACCCATAGTGACCCTGTATAGGGTTTCCATGGTGTAGCTGGTGACCTTGAAGCACCAACCTTGCAGTCCACTGCATTAACCCACACCTATAACTACCAGCTGCTCCGCGGCAGAAAGATGAGGCTTTCTGCTCCCATTAAGATTTACAGTCTCGGAAACCCTGTACAGGGTCACTATGAGTTGGAACCTACTTCACAGCACATAACAACAACAACATAGCTACCTGGAGTCCTGGAGTCCTGGTGTGGCACTGTGGGTTAATACCCTGGACTGCAAAGTCAGTTTGAACCACAAGATTGGTGGTTCAGCCTAACCGGCTACTCCTCAGAAACCATATACAGGATCTCTATGGGTCGGAACTGACTCGACAGCACTTTAATAACAACATAGCTACCTATGGCACTGGGGGGTTAATATGCCAGACTGCAAAGTCAGCAGTTCAAGCTCACCAATGGCTCTTCAGAAACCCAATACAAGGTCACAACCAACTTATTGGCACTTAACAATAACAAATAGCTACCAAAAACAAACACAAACCCACTGTCATCAAATCAATGTGGACTCATAGCAAGCCTATAGGAGAGAGCAGAACTGCTCTTATAGGATTTCCGAGGCTGAATTGTGGTGCTGTGGACTAATGTGCTGGACTACAAAGTCTGTTTGAACCATACTATCTCCAGTTCAAACTCACCAGCTGCTCCTTGGAAACCATATACAAGGTCACTTTGGGTCAGAACCTACTCAACAGCACTTATCAACCCTCGGAGCAGTGGGTTGGAACCACTGACTTTTCTGTTAGCAGCCAAGAGCACTTAACCACTGCAACCCCAGTACTCCTCCAAATGCACAAGTTGTTAAGTGCCATCAGTTCCAACTTTCATATCGACCCTGCATATAATTTCTGAGGAGCAACTTTTGGGTTTGAACTGCTGACTTTTTGTTTAGAAGTCCAGTGCTTATCCTATGGTTCCACTCATTCATTAGTGGATTCATCAAATATTGTATATTCATGGCTTGAGGACAACATCACAGTTGTTTTAAGTGCCATTGAGTCAGTTCCAACTCATAGCAACACTGTATATGGTTTCCAAGGAGCAGCTGGTGGGTTTGAACTCCCAAACTTGTGGTTCGCAGTCCAGTGCTGATCCCACAGCACCACACTAGGAGTCAAGAGTAGTGAGAGAAAATGCTTTTTCATTATTTCATTCACTACTTCAATAAGTGATCAGTGTAATTGGATTTGTAAGTTCTTAAAATTATTTTTTAACTCTCTGAAGTTCCTGTATAGCGAAGTTGTAATCTTTATGAATAATTTAACCCTGATTTTAATAAAACTTTTTTTAAAAAGATTGCTATTAGAAAGATTCTTGGTTTCTGAAGGGGCTTTCCTGAACACAGTTGCTAAACTATCCTTTTGATGCCTGTGATTCTGACCCCAAAGCACTTATGTGGCAACATTTGGAGACGTTTTCCACTGTTAGAACTGGGTGGGGGGGCTGTGGTTGGCATCTAGTGGGTAGAGGAAAAGGATGCTGCTAAACACTCTAGAATGCACACATATAATGAATAATTATTGTTGTTGTTAAGTGTTGTCAAGTCAGTTCCAACTCATAGCAACCCTGTATAGGGTTTTCCGTGGAGAAGCTGGTTGGTTTGTATTATTGACTTTGTTGTTCAAAATCCAGTGCTGACCCTACAGTACCACATCAGTTCAAAATGTCAATAGCTTGAGAGATCCCAAAGTCTCTCACTACCTCACAGGGAAGCTGCTTTATTCTAATCCAAAACTTTCTTCAGTGATTTCCTTCAGGACACCCATTTCTGGTGGATTTTAGAGTGTCTGATGTCTGCCCACTATAGTTTATTTCTTCTTCAAACAACATCTCTCTATTTTATTAATTTTTCCCAAAAATATTTAGAGGGAAATACTATTTAGCAATGGAGTCTGACAGTCCTATGGGATATTTATGATGGCCTATGTAGGAGGGAAACTAACCTTTATTTTCAAAAACAAAGTTTAAAGATGGGAAATAAAAAGCAGACATGTTACTTCCTATAACTGGTTCAGAAATAATGTGGAAAGTGCTTTCTATAGGAAAAGTATTAGGGGGCATATGGGAGTCTCAAAGAGCAGGGGGAATGTTTTCTCCTGTGGTATACAGTTCAGTGTGCAAGAAAACTAATACTGACGTCACATATGGAGGAGCCCAAACACTACTGAAAAATTACTTTCAGTCTTAAAAAAAAAAAACATACACAGAAAGATGGGGAAAATTAAGCAGAGAGTAAAACCCAAATAAAAATACCATACAGATCTAGCATGCATCACAGTGCAGGGGGTGGCAAATATAGCCCATTGAACCCAATATAAAAATATGCACATAATTGCCCTCTTTGGGTATTTTTAAATGTATGCAGTCACACAGTCTTTTTAAAAAGTATTCATTCTCCTCCACAATTTCGTACATTCAGAAGTGTACATTTCTGAGGTTAGGTTTAATTATACTGGAATTAAGCGCTTTTTCCCCCAGAGAAATACTTGTGAGAATAATTAAAGAATGCTATTTGGATGCTTAGAAATATGTGAAACCACCGCACGAAAACAGTGAAATTATCATTCTTCTTCCCTTTTAATAAAGACAGAATGATGTGAAATAGAATTAGAGCTTTAAACCTGAACATGAAAGACAAATTTCCTCTTTGGCTCTGGGCAAGGTATGTCAAACAACATTTATGTAGGAGAATTTGGCCCACAATAGTGAGTTTCATAGAGAATGCCCTGGTTTCTGTATCTGACAAAATTTAATTAAAAGTAGAAACACTGGCTTCCATTTTACCCTTTTAAACTATCAAGTGTATATAATCTGACTCAATAAACTACTAGGAATAAAAACATATCTAGGCATTTTTCTGTTTACCTAATTCCCGGTCAATTTTCAAGGAGTAAAAAATTTCCTATCCTACTGATTATAGCTGCTTACTTATTTCATCCTTAGAATTTTAAGACTGAAATACATTTTAAAAGATGGTGTTTGTGCGTTAAACAAAATATTGAGTACAGTTTCCTTTACCAACCTCCCATTTCTGATGAGTCCTGTACAGATTCTAAATAGGGTTCAACGTCTCCAGCCTAACATGGGATCATTTTCAGTTCATCTTGCAGTCCATCAAAGACATTATAGCTCTATTAAAGCACTTCCCCTCTCCTCATACCTATTTTGACTAAATTGAAAGATAAAATATTGATATCAGAACAACAAATAAATATATGTTAGATGCTTTTTCTCTACTAATGTATGTTGGTTTGGGGTCTGAATCAGATTCTAATACATTTATTTGAATTTGATAATATATATCAGGGACACATCAGAGAAAAATCTAAGCTCTTCAAAATCATTAAAAGTGGCAATTAAAGAAATTCTCACTTTTCCCCTGGACATGCACTTTTCCACTAAGTTACTAGTTGGCATTTATAATAAACACTTCAAAATATTTCTAATTAAAGAAAACACAATCTAGCTTATTTATTTGTCTGTGATGAACACTCAGCATCATATATTCTTCTATCCCCAGAATACTCATTTTCTCTGATAAATGCTACCTACATCAATTTGAACCTATTAAAGAAGACTCAAAGGAAACATAGACAAATAAATAATTCATTATTAAAGCAATAAATGAAAACAGTCCTAACTGGACTGACTAAAGACAGTATTAAGTATTTGTGTCGTCCTTAGGAAACTAGAAGTATTCCCACACTTCCACACACACAAAAAAAGGTACCCTATAGCTGTAGTTTAGAGTTCACAGCAGACAATAAACATTAGTTTTCTCTCCATCTCTCAAATGAAGTGATGGTCAGAAAGCATTTGCACCTTTCCTCTAAACTCTTCTTCCTCTAATGAGTGACGGCATTTTCTACTTTACTGGAGATTCATTCTACTTATACGGGTCAAAAAAAGAATATTGTTCAGCAGTTACAGGAATATCTAAATTTTTTCTGTTTTATGATCTTCCAGGGGAAGAGGGATGCAAAGCTATTATGGTCCTAAAACTTTTTCAATGTACTTAGGCTAGGAGCTCACCTGAGAATCAGTTAGACATTTTACTCAATTAACAAAGCAAAACTACTTTGAATGCTGTGTCCACAGTCACTGAGTCTCAGACGTTAATGTCTCTGCAGCTTACTTTCGAAAACAAAAGTTGCAAGAAAAACTGTTGAACAGCACAAGATACCCAGAGTAAGAAAGGGATTGCCAGTCAAAGAAAAATTAACAGACATGTTCAATTAAAATCCTCTACAGCCGACCTCTTACTGAACACAGAAAGTGCACACTGTGAGTTTGGCCCATGCCTACAACCCACAAAGCTCATTCCACAAGCTAAGTTGATGGCCACAGTGCCTCATCTATTCAGTCTGATCATGTGGGTACCAGATTAAAAATGTGTGCTGTTTATATAACGTTGATCCTCCTGAGTGCTTTTATGAGCTTGTCCATGACCACTCAGATGGCTGTCTGAAGACACTTCAATAGCAACTTCCGTTTTGTCTCTTCTACTGAAGCCATCACTTCCGTATGCCTCTAAAGCTGGATAGCCATTGTGCTCAGCGCAGCCATTGACATGGGCCAGAGGCAGTGCCCCAGGGGGGCAGCACAGCTGCTTCATGCAGCCCTTGGATATGCAGGGTGAGCTGCAGAGGAAGACCAAGTCCTTCTGTTCTGGGGGCTCCTTCAAGTCCACATTTTCAAACTGGATGGTCACATTGTGAATACCCACATTGTGAAAGATTTCTCGAATTTTCACACTGGCGTCCTGATATCCTCTGTCCTTTTGATACTTGATGTGCAGGGTGGCAATGATCTTTCCACTTATAAGTTCCCAGATGTGCATTTCATGTACACTGCTAATTCCAGGCACACTAGAGAGCTTACTCACTAGAAAAGAGAAGAGCAAAGAAAACAAAGATGAGTTCTATAGTTGACCATGGAATTATGGGAGAGGTCTGGTCCCTGTAAGCTTTCTGGCCAAAATGACTGTGTTGTTACTGAAAAATGTTACTGTTGTTGTGTACGTTCCAGTCAATTCCAACTTGTAGGTGCCTTAAAGGACAGAACAGAATTGCTCCATTGGATTTTGTAATCTGTACAGGATCCCACTACCAGGTCTTCTCCTGCAGAGCAACTGATAGGTTTGAACCCCCCAACCTTTTGTAGCTGAGTGCTTAACCACTACAGGACTTCTTTTTACTAAGTTACCGGTAGAAAAATGGAGTCCTGGTGTGACACACTGGGATAAAACACTCGACCTCAAGGTTAGTTTGAACCACAAAGTCGGCAGTTCAATCTCATCAGCCACTCCTTGGAAGACTTGTACAGGGTCACTATGAGTCAGAACTGACTCAATGGCACTTAACAACAACAACACAGGTAGAAAAATAGCTGTCTCTTTAAAGGCACATTTCCCCATAATTTTGTTTCTTGTCTCTGAATTCTTTTATCTCATATGTTTAACACATAAAAAGTAATTCAAGAACATAAATTAAACAATAATGCTAATTGGTGAGTATACAACATAATGAATATTCTAATCGCCTGCTTATGGAAAGACAAAGCAAATTACCATTTTTAAGGGAATAATTTGGCAACATTGACCAAAAACCTTTAAAATATGTGGTCAGCACTTCTATTACTAGAAATTTATTCTGAAGAAAATAACTCTGGAAGTTCCAAATATTTATATAACGGAATAGTTTAGGCAATGCAATTTGTATTAATTTCAAAAACAAAGAAACCATAAGGCATAGTTAAATCAATTGTATAATAGAACATAGTAACAGCTATTAAAAAGTTACTAGAGAGTATTTAAAGGAGCTCTGGTAGCGTAGTGGTTACGAATCGGGCTGCGAACCACAAGGTCAGCAGTTCGAAACTACCAGCTGTTCCGCGGAAGAAAGATGAGGCGTTCTGCTCCCATAAAGATTTACAGCCTTGGGAACCCTGTGCAGACTCGCTATGAGTCGGAACAGACTCCATGCATGGCATATAACAACAACAACAGAGAGTATTTAAGGATATGGGGACATGTATATGAGATATTTTAAAGTGAGAAATGAATAGCTAAAATGTATATGGAAGCACGGTGGCTGCATAAAAGATAAGCATTGGACTGCAAACCATAAGGTACTCGGTTCAAGCCCACCAGTCGCTCCATGGGAAAAAGATGAGGCTTTCTGTTCCTCAAAAAACCTATACAGTCAGAACTATGAGTCAGAACCAACTCAGCAACACTTAACAACAGCAACAACAAAACTGTATGTAGGAAACTATCCCTTTTTTCTTACAAAACATCAAAGTATAAGCACAAAAATATTAATTTCTGGATGGTAGAATTATCCCATAATTTCTTCTTCTCTGAGTCCTTCCATATTTTCATACCTTCTAAAATGAATATGTATTTAAAGAGATGGTACTTAGTAGCAGTTATAAGCTAATGACCCTAAAGTCAGCTAGAATTTGAATATCAATTTAGTCATTTACTATGTAAATGGCCTGGGGCAATTTCCTAGCCCCCTCTGTGCCTCAATTTCCTTATCAGTAAATCAGTAGTGGTAGCAATAGTACTTCATAAGATTCTTTCAAGCATTAAAATGAATTACTATAAGCAAAGAGTCCTGGTGTGGTTTTGTGGGATAAAGCACTGGACCACAAGGTTGGTGGTTCAAACTCACCAACCACTCCTTGGAAACCCTATACAGGGTTGCTATGAGTCAGAACCAACTCTATGGCACTTAACAAAAACACTATAAGCAAGGCACAAAGAAAAGTACCTCACTTAGATGATGGGGCTTCAAAAAGTTCATGTGAAATTTTCATTCCTTTAATTCCATTTTTCCATGAACTTTTTGAAGTGTCTGTGTTTAAATGGCATGAAACTGTTGTTATAGTTATCACTATATATTTTCCAAAAAAAAAAGTTTAAATACTATTTTATTAAGAGGCAGTCTATTATTAGACATTTTAGAACTTATTTCCCTTTCCCATTTTCCACTGTATAATATATTGTTTTAAAAAAATGTTTCTAACGTGCAACAGCTAAAATGAACAATTTTTAGAAATAAAAAAGCAGCTATCTAAGCCAATCTAGACCACAAATTGTGTTTATCTTGCTTCCTCAACTGGGAAACAGTTCCTCAGAGGATACAGGTGATAAGGTATCTTGCCTGCTCCTCTGTGCCTCCTCTCCCTGGCACACTACCTCCTCTGCAAAGGAGGCAGAGGTTGGGCAAATAGTAGATCTATAGGAAATGTTGTTGTTGTTGTTGTTAAAGTGCTGTCAAGTCAATTCCGACCCATAGCGACCCTATACAGGGTTTCGAAGTTAATTATTTTAATTCTGTACAATAATTTTGCAGAGATTTGTTGTTAAGTGTTGTTGAGTCATAGGGACCATATATAGGGTTTTCAAGCATGACTGGTTTGAACCGCTGACCTTGTAGTTAGTAATCCAGTGCTTATCCTACAGCACCACACCAGGACTCCATACAGAGAGTTTGCCTCACTTAAATGATTCTCAGAGACAGTAAACTAACCATCACAACCACAGAAGAGGGCAAAAGTGGGGATGAGACCATCCAGGAGAAGAGATTGTAGAATAAAAAATAGTTATAGGAAATGGCGTGACCAACTGGTTTCAACACCTGCTACTAAATGACCACATGGAGGTTAGATACCTTCACCTTCCTGAAACAGTCACATTGTAAACCATGCCTTCAACGAGGAGAGTCTCACCCGGGTCATTTTAATATAAATTTTAGGTATGTTATAAGTCAGAATCAACTCTATGGCACTTAACAACAACAAAGGTCTTAAAATGTTCAGCTCTCTTGCATGTTTACTGGCTTACTGATATACCATAGTGAATATAAAAATATCAAATATGCACAGAATAGTCATGGTGTTTCTCTGTAAAAAATCATTTCCATTTTTAAACACTAGAAATAAAGTTGTGCATTCAGTGTTTCACCAAAACTCTGAATAGTTCTCATTTAGAAATTCTACCAAGTCTCTAAAAGGTTGACTCTCAGGTGCACATAGCTAAGTGAGAATTTAACCTGTTTAAGCAAAGCAATGAAATGGATCTCATTACTAAATGAGAGGCTGAATTATCTAAATTTAAAAACTGTCCTTATAAGAGAGATGCTGACTTGAATGCCCATTAAAAACAATTAACTAGAAAGCATACATAAATTCATATATGATCTTATTTAGAGTAAGGAGAATAAAAAATAAGTTATTGGAAGAAATAGTCTTCTGCATGTTAAAATAAACCATTGACATAAAGGTAAATATCCCAGGAATATGTATTTCTCAAGCAGTACATTTTTAAAACTTTACAGTTGAGCCAGAGAATCATGGGTTGGAAAGGACCTTTGGTTCTTACAACTATGAATCATCTTAGTTAAGGTACGAAACACATGATGGGGTATCATTATCTCCTGGTGATTTGAAGTATTTAAGAATACATGAATCAAACATTGCTCTGAAATAATGCTGGCCCTTTTGCCTGAGTAACATGGAATCAACAGTGATGCTTACTCAGCTCTTCCACATCAATTCCTTTGGGAACCATCTGTAGCAGGATGGCTGCAGTCTCCTTGATGAGCGGAAAAGCAGATGACAAAATGATGATGACCATGACCACAGTGAGGCTGGGGTCAATGTAGCACTGCCAGTTACAGGGGTCCTCGCGTTTCAGGGGAAGCACATAGAATATGATGGCTGTGATCACCACAACCACAGACCCCAGAGCATCTCCCATCACGTGCAAAAGTACACCTGCCAGGAAGAAAGAAAGATGGCTAAAGCACAAACCCAAGCCGGAAGCCATATAACACACACTGACTCAAGATTCCCATGCATGTTTATACCTGTGGCTATTTGCTTCCTGTTTGGTTAGAACAGCAGGATGGGTCCAAATGAAAAAATAATGGTAATGCCTTTCAGAAGGCAAAACATGAGCTCACCCTCCCAAGACACAGAGAACCTGGGAAGGCTCTGAGCTAGCAGTCACCTGAGACATAGTGACTGCCATCTTATTGTACCACATCGCCACCAGCCATCAGTCATCAGAGGACACCAACCTAGAGAACAGAGGTTGCACAAATGCCTTCTTTTTCTTCCAGACAGATGTCTGTGCTTTGACTTGCTTGAAACATTCTAAAGAGGAAAAGGAAGTGAACTATCCCAAGTAGTTCCTTTTACTCTGTGTCTTCTCACTACCTGGATCCATTTCCCCCTTTCCTACCTATATCTTACGTTAAAAAAAAACAAAACCAATTGCCAAGTTGATTCCAATTCACGGCAACCCCATGTGTGTCAGTGTCCAGCTGTACTTGCTATGGTTTTTCTAAAGGCTAATTTTTCAGAGCTCTGGTAGCGTAGTGGTTACGAATCGGGCTGTGAACCTTAAGGTCAGCGGTTCGAAACTACCAGCCGCTCCGCAGGAGAAAGATGAGGCTTTCTGCTCCGTGAAGATTTACCCCCTTGGAAATCCTGTACAGGGTCGCTATGGGTCGGAACCAACTCGATGGCACTTAACAACAACAATTTTTCAGAAGCAAATCACCAGGCTTTTCTTTCAAGATGCATCTGGGTAAACTTGAACCTCTAACCTTTCAATTACCAGCCAGGAGTCCTAAAGAATAGCAGTGTTTCTACTGGACAGTACGTCATTTGTTACAAATAAAATTAAATTTCTATGGATAATAAAAATTGGAAAGACTTTATTTAAGGAAATAATTTCCAGGTACACAAATGATGATGTATGAAATATGCTCCCTGAAAAAACAGTTGCCATCCAGTTGACTTAAGGCAACCCATGTATTTCAGAATAGAGCTGCTCTCTAAGGAATTTTCAAAGAAAACATGCAATTCTCACTTAATAAAAATGTTAGCTAGTATCGTAGTGAATTACGAGCTATTCTGCTGCAAGGTCAGGAGTTTGAATCTACCAGTCGCTCCTCGGGAGAAAGATGAGGCTCTCTGCTTTCATAAAAGTTTACAGTCTCAGAAACCCTACACAGGGCCGCTATGAGTTGGAACCTACTAGGTGACACACAACCACCACCAATATCCCTTCTATGTGCCTAAGCACTTAAGAGGCGTTAACTCATCACAACTCCAAGACACAGGTACTGCCATTTCCATGTGAAAGATGAAGGAATTGAAGGCAGAGAGAGGTTCAGTAGCTTGCCCAAAGTTATATAGCTTAAGTGGCATAACCAAGATCCAAACCCAAACAACTTAAGGCCAACTCCCTATCTTTCACCCACTCCACTATTAGTCTCTTTTGGAAACTAGACATGCACTTTTGACAGCATCTGTGGACAGCAAGACTGGGCCAGGTACAGCAAGGAATTTACCACTGATATTTTTCTAGCCAAGAGCTCCAATAACTTTGGACCAAAAAATTAGCAAGCTCATATAGGTCCTTCCTTATATCATGCTTCTCAGTCAAGGTAACAATATCGACTGGGGCCTACTCTTCATTGTTCTTAGCTTATACTATCTCTTTGTCCATTCTGAAACATAAAATAAATGACGTAAGATAGGTAACAGCAAGTCCTTTGAAAAGTTAGTGCTATGATGATAAAGTCTACCTTAAGATATTTATTTTTAAACTAACCCTAAAAAAGAAAGATAAAGGATGATGATCTTATTTCAAGACAGATCTGTCTTTGTAAATAAATAAATAAATAAATAAATCACCATCAAATTCTTTAAAAAAAGACAAAACCAGTTGCTATTGCATCAACTCAGACTCATGTGGACCCCACGTGTGTCAGAGTAGAACTGTGTTCTATAGAGTTTTCAATGATTTTCAGAAACAGATCACCAGGCATTTCTTGCAAAAGTCACTGGGGGTGGATTCGAACTATCAATCTTTTGATTAGCTGCTAACATGCGTTAACCCTTTTGCACCCCTCAGTGATTCCAACAAGTTTTTTAGTAAAGTAAATTTTCCTGTTGCATTTAAATTATTTTAAATAATTCATTAAGAACTTTTAAGAAGTTCATGATATAGTTTGGTTGTTTTCCAATTTCTCCTAAAGATCTGTTCTGGGAATTCCTTTGCATACCTGTCAAAACTGAAGTTTCCTGTATTACAAGTTTTTTTCTTTGTATTACAAGGAAGGTCAGTTTGAGACACAAGGTTGGTGGTTCAAATTCACTAGCCGCTCCTTGGAAACCCCATGAGTTGAAACCTACTCCATAGCACTTAACAACAAGCAACACAATAGCCTTCCTCAAATCTGTCAATGAAAAGTTGCTTAATCTTTGCTGAAATTCCCAGTCACTCGGGATCATTCTGAAGCATAGTCTGTGTCCAAGAAGTTGGAGGGAAAAGGTATCTTTCCAAGGAGAGATCCCTTGATGCCTGGTGAGAAAGGCATCTCTGATCTCCCGTGGCTGACCTTTGCCCAGTGAGCACAGGTGACAGAGAATGTTAGTGATGTGCCTTCCACATGGCCCACAGTCCATTTGGAGCCTAGAAGTGGAGGTTAAACTGGAGCAACTGTCCCTTTAAAGAAGCAGATTTCTGGCAGAAATAACTGAGCCGGTGAAAGCATAACCTTGGAGAATGACCCACCTACTCTGTACTTACCTTTATCAAAATCTCATTCAAAGGAGAAGTATTGCATTGAATGTATGTATGAAGTGATTTAAAAACAAAAACAAAACTTTACAAATGGATAGTGGTGATGGTCGCACAATATGGTAGACTTAATTAATGTCACTGACACGTACACTTAAAAATGGTTAAAATGGCAAACCTTTTGTTATATGTATTATTATTATAATTTTTTAATGAAAAAAATCTCTATTAAAATAGACTGCAAAAAAAAAAACAAGAAAGGAAAAAATGGGAGTCTTGATGTGGTGCTGTGAGTTAATACGCTGGACTGCAAAGTCAGTTTGAATTGCAAGATCAACTGTTCAAGCTCACCAGCCACTCCTTGGAAACCCTGTGCAGGGTGACTATGAGTCGGAACCAACTCAATGGCACTTAACAACAACAAGGCAAACTAAAACCATGTAGAGTAGTAACATGCCACTGATGTATTACGGGGTTAAGTGGAGCCAGAATAAATCATTAGCAACTAGTGTCTCCCTGAGAATCAATGCAGTGATTGGACAAGAGACTAGGGTCATAGTCTGTGCCTGTAATCGACCTACTTTCATATCACAATTGCTTTATGCAAGGTCAAACAAAAACGAAAGAGCCCAACACAGCTCACACATACCTCCAAAAAGGATTTCAAACTAACCCAAAGTCATCTTACCTCTGATATTCAGAGCTTCAGACTTTTTTTCCTTTTTCATTATTTCTTCAGGTTCGTTCTGGGTGTTTAAGGAATCACCTGCATTCAAAGAAGAAACCTTGTGTTGTGTATAAGTTCTACAAACAAAAAGAACCAATGGACTCAAAAAAAAAGTTTTGTCATTTTAAATTCCTACTAGCTTATCAGAGACCCTAGCCCTACACACACACAGTCCAAAAGAGTACATTTTGGCCCAGAAATAAGCCTTATTATGGTCCACATTTTTACTCTATTCAAATGTCCATCCGAGTTAAAACTAAAAAAGGGCAAGTAGGAGCTTTCCACCCCAAAACCCTTAATTTCAAAGGGAATAAAGGGATGAGCAAAGAAGGATGGGCAAAGGAGGGGGAAAAGTTAGATATAGATACCAATGAATGGGGTGGGGGCGGCAGTCAGGAAACCTGTTGCTCTTTGAAAATGACTGATTTCCAAGAAAACCAATGCTCTAAAAGAGAGAACAGGAAGGATGGGATAAGGGGCAAAGGGGATTACTTGAAGGTCCAGGAGAAAAAAAAGAAATCGGAAATGCATTTTAAAAACAGCAGAATGGAAGAATAGATGGGCGTGGAAAAGGAGGAAAGGACCAAGAGGATGGAGCAGGGAGGGACTGGCAAATGGGTTCAGAGGATGCAACCGAGAGGCACCTGCTATGTTTGAGAACACAGTCGCCCCTTTTTCTTCCTTCCTTTCGGCTGGGGCCACCCGGAGGGTCACGGCCGAATCTGCACCAGGGACTGTCGAAGTGGCGGCCTGGTGCCGGCTCTCCGAGTCCTGGGGTCCCCCGAAAGCGCTGCGAGCGCCGCCCTCTGCCAGCTGCTGCTGCTGCTTCTGGCGGCGGCGGCGGCGGTCCCGGCCACAGCAGGTGAACCAGGCAGCGCAGTCCTGGAAGATGAGCAAGCCCACAACGTTGACCGCCAGGCCCAGGGCGCCAACGATGAGCACCAGCTCCGGGTCATCGATGCGCTCTGGTCGTGCCAAGCGTAGTATGGCCTCCACGAAGATGGTAAAGCAGAGCGCAGTGAGAAAGACGGCGTTGCTCAGCGCTCCCACCACCTCGGCGCGGCCGTAGCCATAGGTGGCCTGGGAACCCCTGGTGGGGCGCCGGGCAATGTAGCCGGCGGTCAGCCCCACGCACAGTGAAATCAGGTCCGAGAGCATGTTGAAGGAGTCGGAGAGCAGCGCGATGGAGTTACCCAGGTAGCCCGAGACCAGCTCCGCCACAAAGAAGGCTACAGTGAGCACGAGCATGAAGAGCAGCCGGCACGTCTTGCCTGAATAGCGGCCCATCTCCGCGAGTCGATCTGCCAAGCGCCTAGCAAGGCCTGGCGCGCTCTTGCCAGAGGCGCGCAGTGGAGAGGGACGCGCCTGGAGCGCAGCGCGCGGCCGCTGCAACAAGTGGGGTCGCGGTGCAGAGGGGCTGACTCTCAGGCTTCCGTGGCGGCCCTGCCCTTGGGCTTTTTATAAAGCAGAGCCGAAGCGTCCCCAGTCTGCACGTCCAGAGTCTAAAGGAGTGGCTGCCGCAACAGCGGTATCTGAAAACACCGTACGTCGCCTCCTCCGGTGGCCTCTTCCCCTCCCTTGCGTCCTGGGCCTAACTTGGCAAGTGGCCACGGACCAGTGTCTCTATTACTAGAGCAGAAATGAGCAAAAAGGGGAGCAGCTATGAGGAGGGGATGTGTCAGAATTTCACTCCTCACACAGATATTCCTAAACAGAGGTGGGTTTCACCCAATGGCCTCATTTCTCTTTATCACCAATGCCCTGACCTTTGATTCTTAGTGATAAGGACCTTGTGGCTGTGGGTATGTTCTCGTGGTGAATGAGGACACCTTCACGTACACATCCAATCGCTGCTTGCGTTACAGATTCCATATCAACCCGGTAAGGTACAGGAGTTGCCTGTCTACCTGAGTGGACTGGCATTAGCAAAGCAAATCTGACCTTAATGATACTTTCCATTTCGTTAAATTTGGTTTAACCCTATCACTTAGACCAGCTCCACTAACATCTGTTGTATTTGTTATGCCCTCTTCTTGCTCACAGGCTTCATAAAGGTCACATGTTAGTTACTGTTACCCTCTAATAATACTGTATCTGGTCCATTTCTCCCTTCAAATCTTCAGCCTTCAAAGCCTCCTTCCAGAGGTGGTCAGCAGGCAGACCTCCAGGAGAGCACAGATTTCACTTTTTTAAGTCTGCCACTTCAAGCCAGTGCTAAGGAATGTGGTTTCCCTTCTGTAGATACAAGCCCTCTAGCCACCAAAGAAGCCAAGGCAGGCCTCCCCTGTGCACTTGTCTTGAACTAGAGAGAATGCTATACCCACCCCCATGTGTTCCTAACAGCAGGGACTGACCCTAGTTCAATCGACTGACCTACATAGTTTATTTCAGATAAAATCTCTCCTGTTGACAACAGGCTTTGTTCCAAGTAAAAATTATTTACTACTCTCTCCAGGACTTCTGGGAAAAGCTGACTAAGCAGACCCTTGGAGGAAACCAAGGATTGTTGGAGAGTGAGGAGGGGGAAACTTTGAAGGTTCCTATATTGGTTTATTTTTGTTTCCCTTCCCAAAGATTTGAAGGTGAAGTCTGGTAATGTCTGTTTTCCCTCCCCTACCCCCAGGCTCTGAACTTTAACCAATCCTGAAAAAAACACATTTTTTTTTTTTGGCTTAGAAATGAATGAAAATATCTCGCTCAAAAAAAGCTACAGGATCCATTAGCAAAACATTCTACATTTAGCCCTGGTGCCTTAACATGGTAAAATATTGCATTGTTAATGATCTCTGAGGCTCCCTCACATTCATGCTAAAGAATCCTGGATCTAAACCAGGTGAACTTCCACACTCAAGAGTTTTAAAGTAAACCCTTCCTACCTCCAAGAAAAAAATCCCTACACTGACAACTGAAGAAAAATTGATCATTTAAAGTATTCGATAAAAACTAGTACATATGTGATGAATAGCTTAAAGGTGAAAAAATATACAAGATGATGTAACCTTGGTAGAGTTCCTTAATCACCTGGGTCTGCTTTCATAACTCTAAAATAGCAATAATAATAGTATCTCCCCATATAGTTGAAGAAGCTCTGGTAGCGTGGTTGGTTACTAGTCCTGCTGCCAACTGTAAGGTCAGTAGTTCAAACTACCAGTTGCTCCAAGGGAGAAAGATGAGGCTTTCTGTTCCCATAAAGATTTACAGCCTTGGAGACCCTATACAAGGTCTCCAAGAGTTGGAATACACTTCACAGCACATAACCACCACCACCACCCCCACGTTGTTGTTAAATACCGTGGAGTCTATTTGAATTCATAGTGACCCTGTATAGGGTTTCCAAGGAGCAGCTGGTGAGCTTGAACTGTCAACCTTGCAGTTCAAACTGACCTTGCAGCCCAGCGCATTAGCCCACAGCGGCACACCAAGACTGAGGATTAAATGTGTTAATATGTTTTAAATATTTACAATCATAAGCCTGGCACTTAGTAAGCACTCAATAAACTCTTATTAAAGTCCCTGGGTGGTGCAAACTGTTTGCTTTTGACTACTAACCTACAGGTTGGCAGTCTGAACCCACTGATTGGCACCATGGAAAAAAGGGCTGGCAAGCTGCTTCTGTAAAGATTACAGCCAAGAAAACCCTATGGAGCAATTCTGGTCTGTGACATATGGGGTTGCCATAAATATGAATTGACAGCAATGGGGTTTTTTTATTATTATTAATATTATTACAGTGCATGTATAACAGAATTAATATTGAATAACAGAAAACAACACACCCTAAATACACAGAAGGGGTACTGTTCGCGGTTTCTGGCTTATATTGTTTTCAAACTAAAAAACCTCTGAACCATTTCATGAGACCTGTGTGTTAACTCACTTCACAACTGAATTATTCCTGCTAATTACATTTCTTTGTCATTCATAATTAAAGGGAAACCCTGACATCAGCAGAAATATATTACTGTGTGTCTGCTGCCTACTCATTCTCCTAGGAGTCAGAGAGAGATAACAAGAATTATGTCACTGCCCAGGCCAACAGTAAAGGGCCCTAGAAAACTAGTGGCTGAGGAAGCACTTAGGAAGGGAGCTATCAGTGTCTGAGACTCACAGTCCCAGGCCCAGTTTCTGACTTAAACAGAAGACCAGGGGCAGATTTCCCAATATGTAAGGTAAGCACTTGTACTTACTAACCTGTAGTGAACAGTTTCACATGTTTTTGCTTACTGAATATTCTATCCCTGTCAAGGACTGTAAATTTGAAAAGAGACTTTGATTCTGTAGGAACTATGGGGTTGGGAACAAAAGTTTAGGTCATACCTAGAAACAGAATCTTTGATGTGGTGAAAAACTGCAAAATTGATCTCTACAGATTAATAAGTAAGTACAAGTAAGCCTGTGCTTACCTTGCTTATTGGCTAATCCAAAACCAAAAAGGATTAAGATTATCAAATACTATCAACAAATTGCAATGTAAGAAAAATGTAATTTAAAAAAAAAAAAAAAATATATATATATAGTTTTTATTGTTAAGTGCCTTTGAATTGGTTCCAGCTCATAGAGGCTCTGTATAGAATTTCTGACGAGCAACTGGTATGTTCGAACCACCAAACTTGTGGTTAGCAGTCTAGTGTTTATCCTATAGCACCATACCAGGAAGGAAAAATATACATATATATGGACTTCTGGTGTGGTGCTGTGGGACAATGAGTAGGCAATAGGCACAACCAACTTGATGGCACTTGACAACAGCAAAAACACGTTGTTGTTGTTGTTGTTGTTGTTAAGTGCCATCAAGTTGTTTCCAACTCATAACGACTCTGTAAAGGGTTTCCGCAGAGCAGCTAGTGGGTTTAAACTACCAACTTTGTGGTTCGAAGTCCAGTGCTGATCCTACAGTGCCACGCCAGGAGTCCATGGTGTTAAGTCCACTTCTCAGCACTTAACAACACCAATATATGTATGTATGTGTATTGTTGTTGTTAAGCACTGTTGAGTCGGCTCCAACTCATAGCTACCCTATATAGGAACTCTGAAAAGAGCCTGGTGGGTTTGAACCACCAACCTTGCAGTTAAAAGCCCAGGGATTATCCTACAATGCCATGCCAGTGTAGGATCAGCACTGGACTACAAACCACAAGGTCAGCAATTCAAAACCACCAGGTGAGGACTTCTGTTTTCTTTACATTGAAGCGTAACCCATACTGAACACTGGGGTCATTGATCTTCATTAGTAGTTATTTTAACTGCTCTTCACTTTCAGCAAGCAAGTTTGTACCATCTGCATAGCACAGGCTATTAATGAGTCTTCCTCCAATCCTGATGCCACAGTCATCTACATATAATCCAGCTTCTCTTGATTATTTGCTTAGCATACAGATTGAATAAGTGTAATGAAAGAATACAACCCTGGGGCATACCTTTCTTAATTTTAAACCATTCGGTGTTCCCTAGTTCTGTTCGGACAACTGTCTGTTGGTCTATGTACAGGTTCCTCATGAGCGCAATTCATTCAATGTTTCAGAATACTCATTTTATGCAATGTTGTCCATAGCTTGTCATGATCCACATAATCAAAAGCCTTTGCACAGTCAATAAAGCACAGGTAAACATCTTTTTGGTATTTTCTGCTTCTAGCCAAGATCCATCTTAAGTTAGTGCTCCATGTCCCCATCCGAATATGGCCTAAATCTATGGCAGTTTCCATGTCAACGTACAGCTGCAACCGTTTTTTAATTATCTTTAGCAAAATTTTACTTGAATATGGTATTAATGATACTGTTCTATGATTTCTGCATTCTTTTAGATCACCTCTCTTTGGAACGGGCACAGATATGGATCTCTTCCAATCAGTTGGCCATGTGGCTGTCTTCCAAATTTCTTGGCAGAGATGAGTGAGTGTCTCCAGTGCTGCCTCAGTTTGTTGAAAGATTTCAATTCATATTCCATCGATTTCTGGAGCATTGTTTTTTTGGCAATACCTTCAGTGCAGTTTGGACTTCTTCCTTCAGTTTCATTGGTTCTTGATCATATGCTACCTCTTGAAATGGTTGAACATCAACCATTTCTTTTTAGTACAGTAGCTCTGTGTACTCCTTCCATCTTATTTTGATGCTTTCTGCATCATTCAATATTTTCCCCCACAGAATCCTTCAATATTGCAATCGAGGCTTTATTTTTTTTTCTCTCGGTTCCCTCAGCTTGAGAAATGCTAAGTGTGTTCTTTCCTTTTGGTTTTCTACTTCCAGGTCTTCACAAGTTGCCCTTTGAAATTTTCTAGTCAGCTCTTAAAATTAGGAAGAAACTTTCCCATTTCTTCCATTTTCTTTAGCATCTTTACACTGGAGAGCAAGTTTCAGAGTCTCTTCTGACATACTTATTGGTCTTTTCCTTCTTTCTTGTCTTAACTACCTCCTGCATTTTTACTGCATGATGTTCTTGATGTCATTCACAGCTCTTCTGGTCACTAATGTCTAATGCATCAAATCTGTTCTTAAGATGATCTCTAAATTCAGGTGGGATATGTTCAAAGCCATGTTTTGGCTCTTGTGGACTTGTATTAATTTTCTTCAGCTTGAATCTGAACTTGCATATGAGCAATTGATAGTCTGTTTCATAATCTGCCATGGCCTTGTTTTGTCTGATGATATGGAGGTTTTCCACCGTCTCTTTCCACAGATGTAGTCAATTTGACTTCTGTGTATTTCATCTGAAGAGCTCTATGTGTATAGTCATCTTTTATGTTGTTTAAAAAAGATATTTGCTATGAAGTCATTGGTCTTGCAAAATTCTATCATGAGGTCTCCAGCATCATTTCTATCACCAAGGCTATTATTTTCCAACTACTGATCCTGTCCCTTTGTTATGAACCAGTGAATTCCAAT